GATAGACGAAACCAACTGGCGTTTGGTGCGATTCAAAGGTCGTATGCACTGCTTGGTACCCAATCTTTCCTGCGGCCGCTACACGCTCCCCACCGCGCGTCAACCTTGCCTACTTCGCGTCTTCGGCAATGTCCCAGAGATGCCACGTCGAGCCTTCACAACGAATGGAATGTTTAACCGATCACGCTTTTCAAGGTTTCATTCGGTGCAATAGGCAGCCGGTGGTTGTTGGGCATCATGATCTGAGGGACATTTGGACGAATAACGCTGCACTCTATTGCAGTGATGGCGGAATCTGGCCCCTCGACTGTGGCCAGGTCATAGCCAGGGAAGGAGGTGTTATGTTTCCTTCGACCAGGGATCCATGACCGAAGAAGAATCAGCTCGTCAATACGGCTGTCGAGTCGACAGCCACAATCCTTCACGGATCCCACCTCGATTCAGTCTCTGTCCGAACCTCTCCAGCCTCGACGACCGAGCCCGAGCTCCCGAAGCTGGGCCAAAGAAGTGAAATCGTCAACAACCTCATTGGCCCCAGATTCGTTCATCCCAATCGCACACATGGACCTGATTGGTTTAGTGTCATGCAAGTCATACAAACATCCACCTCATGGGTGACAACCTTCCACGCTTGATCTAGTGTCGATGCCTGCACTCCTGCAATCACGTTCGACGATGTTAACGCCCACACTTGGAGTTGCAGGAGGACTTGGGCATCTTGGACCTGGATTTCAACCCAACAGCAAGCAGGCCACTGTGTTACTCCACTGGCGGCACAAGAGTCAGCCAAGTTCTGTTCGTTGGGTTGCGACGGTTCAAAGGCAGCCACAGCCGAGGAAACAGCGAAACCCGCATTCTCGAGAATCCCATGCCTTCTCATCTTGAAATCGCATACCTGTGTCTCTGCAGTGCGCCATGCAGTCATTCTTCACCGGCGCAACGTGGCCGAGTGCAGACCAAACGACATGTGACCACGGGACCTACGCCTCCGTCGCGATCAGGGAATTTGAGGTCGATCAGAACACTGCGTTTCTGTCTCACGCGTGTCCATTGTCGTCAACAAGGCGTCAGAAACTTTGGATTGGGCACTTATGATCGTCAAAACCAGGTTGTCCCAATCGAAGCCTGGACTTGTAGAATGCTCGGCGCTGCAAGTAAGGATATGGGTTGCATCCTTGACGCATCGCAAGTTGAAGAATATCAGACCACCTTTTCGGGCATGGTCGACAACATCGTCAGGCCCCAAGGTGCGAGGATTGCATAATACCCGGGAATCCATCATCTCTGTCATTTCTGACGAGATCACTGAAGTTTCACTTGCCAGTAGCGACTGTCATCCAGCTAGAATAGCAGCAAACATCGTGGACTTGGTATCCAGCCTCTAGCGCTAGCACTCCGAGCCACTGCCTGCTGAAACTTTGTGGAAACAAGAAATGCATTCTCAGTCGAGTGTGAGTGCCCACCTCCTGCCTACCTCGGACTAATACGATGACTGACAGAGATAGCGGAGTGGAAGCCGTAAGCACGGGAGGCGAAGTGACAAGAAGGACAAAGATCACAAGCCAAGACAAGCCAGTGGGAGACAGGAGGCCGTCTCTGGCATTTACTTCAGTTTTCTCTTTGTAGTGAACGAACTCAATATTCTTGATGGATACAACCTTGGCGATTCCTGCGGCAACACTCGCCCACCTGACTCTGCCGATGGCTATGGTGAGGAGAGAGCGGGCATTGTTTGGCGGTATACGGACGGGGTCATCGCTCCGGCTGAGAATGAATTCTTCTGGAACCGTGAGGCAATGGGACGTCCTGGGGCAATTTGTTCTCAGCTACTTGGAGCGGAAGAGCCGACTGCCCTGCAGGAATATAAGACTTATAGCGTCTTCAACTGCTGGCGGTTCCTTCCTTGCTTGGTTACCAACGTTGATATATCAGCTGTGGACGAGCCCTATCCAGGTGGGTTTCACAGCATCGCTTTTGAAAAGCCAGACCAAACAGCCCCAGGTGTTACTCGGATCGTCTCTCCCGGCGGCCCCCAAAGACATGTATCTGGAACCCAGCCGTCTTGGATACCCCATCTCCTGCCACACACATTCGCCACGCCGGATTCTTCAGCTCCCCGATCCATAGGTTTGGGCGGTGATTTGCCTATCATCCTCGCCCTCTTGGCTCTGATGAAAAGGCCGGGAGACACAGAGCGAGTTTTCTGGGATGGGCTCTGGAATAGGAACGGATTTCATGAGCGGCGATCTTCTCGTGCTGGTCAGTAAACTGCTTCTTCTCGGAAAGCCGTATTACACACGTCAAAGTATATGCTGACTTTAATAGACCCTGATCCCACTGGTTCTCCGAGAGGTGTAATGGTGCAGATCTGTTGTGATTCCTACAATATGAACTCGACTACGGAGATGATTGAAGAATTCGAGGCCGGATGCTGTGTCGTCTTCGGCTGAGCTCCCGTCCCCTTTCTCATTCAAGCCGTTTTACAACGTCTCATCGTGTCTTCTGGTTTTGGCCAGGCGTTGTCTCGACAGCACATATACCCAATTCAACCAGCAGTAACGAATTCCCAACTACTAAGTATAGTGCTCTCAGCGTTAAGGAAATCTTGTGATGCTCAGGTTCAATGAATGGCATCGGAGATGAGGGATGATGCTCTTTCAGGGGCAGACACATGCGGGACATGTTTCCTAAGGCGCACACATCTTTGAAATATTGAACTTTGCATCATCATTGAAAGCTTTCTCCTTCTTGTCCTAGTGAACGCGGGTTATCTACTTGACCCAGTAGGTACTCATCCAACGGCTCTTGAGAGCCACGAAGCGTTGACGCATCTACCCTGCCCCCAACGGATGTGTCTATGGCCCATGCCCACCAGCCAACATGTGTTTTGTGTAACCTCAATTCACTTTTTCGCTCAATAAAATAGTAATGCATCGATGGAAAATGTACTCCCTTCGAGCTCGTATTGCGTTACAACTAAGCCGATACCCGCTCGCCTCATACTGCGTCAGGCAACCTCACAGCTATGTCTCCTGACTGGGTGATGTATCTGACCCAAGGCAACGAGGGATACTGCAGCTGTGACAAGTTAGCAAATGACAACCACTGAAACTCCTCGAAGGAGAAACACTTACCTTTGGCTCTGTAATCTTGAGGTACCGCACTTGGATACCACTCGTCGTGAAATAGGGGATCTCAAACTTGACCTGGATTGGCCGCTTGGCTCCCTTGCCAGGCGCACCAACACCACCCATACTACCGCCGAAACCACCAGTCATACCACCACCGTGCTCGTCATCGCCTCGTACCGAAGGCAGTCCCAACTCTGCCCTCATCAAGAACTCCTTGTTGCCTCCAAACTGCTTAATCTTCCACACGATGGCGCTCTGTTCAGGGGCGTAGTGGACGGCGCCAATGTTGGTGCGGAAGCGAGGAGTGTCGGCATCATCGGGGACTGGAACGATAATCTCAACGTTGTTGGCCGTACTCCTCCTCTTGAATTGCGATCTGGCCTTGAGCATGTACTCGACTCGCGACCCGCTGTGGCTCTCGACAACACATTCGACCCAAATCAGGGGTTTGACCTGGGTGTTGAGGCGGTAGCTCATGAGCTCGAACTCGCCGTCCGGGGGGATGAAGGAAATGGTCCTATCGTTCTCGAAGCGTGACAGCCGCACACACTGGTGGAATTTGACGTCCTCCATCTCAATAGCCTTGCCGCGTGTCGTTCGGCCCGTTGTCTCGAACATGACCTTGTCGTTCAGGCCCAGGCGGAGCTCAGGCATACCGCTGAGATAGCACTTCATCTTGATGGCGCCCAGGATCTCACTGCGCAGGACGTTGCCGTTGGCGCTAACGAGAAGGTTGAGACTCTCGACGACGTCGAGGAAGACCTCGTTCTTGCGGTAGCGAATACCCTCGGAACGCCATGAGACAGCGTTTGTGACGGCGATGGGCGGGCGGGCCTGGATCTCGAGCTTGTGGGATTCTTGGGTGATGTACTCCTGGAGGATCTTGGACTCGGTAGTCTGGGGGTAGCCAAAGTCCATCATCTCGTCGAGAAGCTCGTAGATGATGACAAAGTTGTCGCGGATGGATTCTTCCTCAAGGGCCTTGAAGTACTCGGTGAAGACTTCGACAATCTTGTGAAGGAATAGGAGGATCTCGGCAGCGTTGGTGTTTCGTTTCGTCAGGGCAAGGAGGTATAGGTTGTTGTGTCGGATGTAAAGGTACTGGAATTCGCGTCTCGTCAGTCAAGATGCCACTTGCGACGCTGGAGCGCAGATAGCCGCAATTCGGCACGTACGTTGATACCCTCGTGCGAGAAGCATGGTGGGACAGCTGATGATTCTTCTTCTGCTTCGCTGAGAAGGACGGGGAACTTCTCGACAGCTGACATGGGAATGTCACCGCGGTAGTTTCGGGCAAGAAGGGTCTATTGCAAGCCAGTATCAGCATTCTTGAACGTCTCAGATATCAGGTCAATTTCGTAGTGCGCACCTTGCCCTTCAAGTCGAGGAAGAACACGGCGGAAGCCATGATGAAGTGGTTGCCAAGGCGGGGGATCGAGGGGCAGGCGCAGAGGCGGTGGGAGTCAATTGGCACGCTGGCCAGAGGAATTATGGCAGTGAGGAGGATGTTTTCATGCAGTTGGTACAGCAGGGCAGCTCGTGATGGTATCAAATGATCAAAAGTTGGAGGTGGACGCTGTCATTATTCGCGGGTCGTGCAGTTGATGAACCGCGCGTTGACAGATAGCTGGCGATATTGAAACCACGATGTCTCCTTGAAGTCGGAAGGGCACGGACCAGCACAATGACAGCCTTACCTCTTGGGAAAGCAAGCTGTCGTGCAGCCACATATGGCTGGGGGGTCAGACTGTGGCTGTTGCCGCTTGTCTTATGTAAGTAACATTCCAAGAGCAAAGTAGGTTTACGTAAGGTAAGTCTTCAGAGGTAAGTCACATGACCTGCAGCTCTCGGAGTGGGTCTGCGGTCTGCTTACATCGGGCCAAAATTTTCACGATGTTTCTTCCTTCTCTTCTTTTCCTCACAACCGCGTCCTTTTAGACAGTGCAGCGCATTATTACAACCACATATGGACTGGCATTCTGCTGGGCTCATTCGTGTCGTCGTTGATGTGAATTGCGATTTCGTGACGCGCAGAGGAAACCTTCCGGTTCCATAAGAGCTGCCCATGCATTTCTCTTCGCTTTCGAGTGAAGAGTACAGTTGCCAGGGCGGCGTCAGAGGTGCCATACATACTATCAAAATGATGTCTTATTTCTGTTGTGATTTACGAGACGAAACGGTTGCTACATTTACCGACTGCTGGACTGCAGTTACTTCGGGTAAATCTTAGCAGAGATCTTGATCAAGACAAGATCTCGGTAGACACACTCGACGAGTAAGCTTCCATGCATGGAACACATCTTGTGTTCCTGACAGAAGCAATCGCCGAGGCTCCTGCTTCGGAGCTCAACAAGTCTTGACAGGTGCTCGTACGCTTGTTTGAAGCTAAGGGTCCTCTTTAAGCTGGGAAGCCTCATGCCATGTCCTCCTGACAGCCTCTACGACAAGGAAAAGGTTGCAATGCACGACCGGCTCGCCGGTTGTCAGATCTAGAGAGACCCCAGTCAAAAAACACAAACGCCTCCCGAACCAAGATGGTTAATGTCTCTCGGCTTTCGGGGGTTTATAAAAAAGTCTACTACGTACTGCCGGGGAAATGCCAAAAGGTACGAGAAAGGCTTGAATAGTCTTCGACGATGTCAGCTGGCTCTTGCGTGCTCTGAGCTCGTGCAGCGTGCGCCGAGGGCCGTGGAAACGCCGCTGATCCACCAGCTCGGGTCTGAGATGCCATCACATGGCCACCATTTGTGGGAGATAACTAGTCAGGACGGGCGGGTAGCAGATAGAACTGAGTCGTGCGATGCAAGGCGAGCAGGCAAGTAAGCCGGCAGGCAGCAGCTGGGAACTTGAAAGAAGAGCTTGGAAGTTGGAATCAGGTTCAAACAAGATGTGGGTTTTCCATTGTGGGAATCAGCGCAGCTCGGCACCTCGATGTCGATGGTGATTACTGATAAGGCCTGGTGGGTTAAGGTGAGAGAGGTTGCGTTGGTGCTTCAAGTGCATGATTGGGCGTCGGTTTCGCAAGATTCGTGTAAATTGGATCTTGCAATCCAATCAGCCAACACAGGTTACCGGCTGTTACTCTTGCAAAGCAAATCGGAAATACTACAACGGCTACACACCTGACGTGTGGTGGTGTACCTTGATTTGCATGTGGTGTTTGTGTACTACGTACAGACGGCAACGGCGGAATCTCGGATGACGGAGTGGTAGAAGAAAAAAAACGAAGAAGGGCATGGTAGATCCATGAAAAAGGCGTCACAGAGAAGAACGTCAGCGGGAACAACTGGACCCTTGGGCGGATCTCGAGAAAATTACCATGGTCATCTGGCAACCTATTCTGCAAAGTCCCACCAATTCCCCTCCAAGAATCAAGAGTCAGCAGAGTGGCAGCAAATCGCACGTGAATATGGGCCTTGAACGGCAGCTGTGGGATGATTGCCTGAGCCACCTTACGGATACGGTATCGCGAATTTGTGAGGCCCGGGTTGAGAAAGCTTTCTGGGGCAGGCAAAACTGGCAGACACACAGCGAAAGGCAAGAACCAAACTAAACTTGCGAGGCTCAAGGTAGGTAGGGCGGAAGCTGCAAGTTGCGGATGCCTTTTTGGAGAGACAGGTGACCAGAAACGCGTCTCAAGTGCGGGCTGGGAATCCCTAACTTGCGGAAGGCTCCTGAGCCGTGGGTTCTTCCCCTCTGTGTGTGCCCCGTATGTCTCTTTTCAGTTTTTTTCTTCTCCTTCGTTTTCACATGGAAAGGGTGAGTCCGTGCCCCAGGGTGACGTAGCAGTAAGAAAGCGACAGTCCAATCAAACAGCGAGGAAGCCTCGTTTGTGCCTGGGGCCGAATGCCGGCTGGGCGACCCGGCCACCGCCCGTTGTCAGTTGATGCCTTGTGACATAGACATCCGGGAGTCCAACCTGGTAGCATCAAGGTGAGAAACACGGCAGAAAGCTTAACACAACCCACTTCTGCACATGCTAAGTTACTTGTTCATCCCGTCCAACCCGGCCAGATGCATGTGATGACGGCCCCAACAACTCTGACACGTGCTTCCCCAACTTTGGCCCTGATCTCCTGTCCCCCCTCGAGTCTTTCCCAGGCTTGCCCCCTGTTGTGTGTCCCAGATCACAGGCTAAAGGTAGGGTCTCTTACTGGCGAAGGCACCCGGTGCACCACAGTACGAATCCCTATAAGTCACAACCAGGAAGAGGCCATCAGCTGTTGGCTGGAAGAATAGCTTGCAGGATTCGTTGTTGGACGATCAGCGAAACGGTCATCCTCACTTTTCTTACAAGCGGTCTGGGCGCAAACTGACAACTAAAAGTCCAAGGTCTCGGTCTAGTAGTCTTCACATTCCAGTCATTGCAGTCAAAACCTGATGGTGGCTCAAGAAAAAAAAAAGAAAAAAAAGAAAGAAAGACAATATTCCATGCGACAACGAGGTCAGTTGGTCTTGGTCGGCAAACCCAAAATGCGGTCTGCACTATGCAGACGTCAGGCCAGCCAGCGGCGCATCGTCAGACAAGAGCGAACCCGACAGCACACTCTTCCAACCTATGTAGACACCAATTGGTGTATGGCTATATTCACACTGTACCCCTACCCCAACGGTAGCTGTGGCAATGGCACTCTCTGAATCCCGTTTCTGTCACGGCATTCCTGCAGACTCAGAGTCTGGCCTTGAATCTGCTAAGGTTCGCGTCTGTTTCTGTAACCGACTCCCACCCATCATCGTCGGCTATTTTTCTTGCTGCTGGCCCGGGCAAAGCATATGGTCAACGCATACTGGATAGTGATACGGATATCCAGCACGAATACCACCTCAGTTCTTCTACATGGGTACGGGGTACAAAACCATACGATGAGCTAGCTACCTTGCGCGAGACTGCGAGTATCTACTCCGTACCTAGGATACACTATTGAGTCGCGGCTTGTCTGCTTAGTTCCCAACTGCCTTCCATTGGTCTCCAGAGTACTGACAGATGTCAGCAGCAAGGTAGCGTTGGCCCGTATCTCTGTCTCGAGTTTAGCGGCTGCCAGTGCGAAACAGTGCCTCGGACCCTGCAGACTCCAGCGAGATGGACCGCAGACGGTGCCGCCTGACCTGTCCCGAACGGGAACGTGGACTCGCGTGTGGGCGATGATTGGGTCTTGCGTTTGCCGTCGACCCCCCTGCTCGTCGAGCGGCGTAGTTCGCGTTGTCTGGAGTACAGCACTGTATTTACCGTCACTGAGGAGTCGAAAGGCTCGAGACACAGGACGACGAGATAGGAACCTCAGGGCCATGCTTGGGCCTTGGGATGTGGGCTGGCTTGATGCTGGTTCTCAGACATGATCTGCTTATACATAGACGAATAGTGTGAGTGCGATGTACCCGCCCAAGTCAAGTCAGCCACAATCACGGTGCCGAGAAGTCTCTTCCGGTCAGGCCCCCCACGGAACGACTCAAGCGAGAGGCACAATACCTTGGTCAATTCGCTGGCTGGGCAGCGAGATGGACGGGCAGAAAACAGTACCAACAACAGCGCATAGCATGACCTATTACCTGGACCTTCACATGGGGAACTCGGAAGTCGGAGCAACCAGCACTGCTCCGTACTGCGAGAGACCAAAGCCGAGTGACAGAGCTTGAGGAAATTAGCCGCCTGTTTCCCCCCCATATGCGTACGGCTGACGGACACTTTCCCGTGTCCATCTCATGTCTTTTTTCCCCACGGGAAAGCTTCTAGTTTAGCACTGGAGAAAGTTAGTTGGCGCAAGATCTGAAGGGGCAAGTGATTAGCTTTCAATACAAGAGCGACTTTCCACAGCAAGCTCTGATTGAATATAACAGATTAATTGTTTCCGTTGCTTAGGCACTGAAGTGCCCAAAGGCTCCGTACCTTACCCAAGACCGACTCCGTTGTGGTCCCCCCCGGCCCCCATTTGTACCTTATCCATTCACCATCTGGAACCATGAGACTGGCCAAGGTACAGAGCCGGGTACTGCAAGCCAAGTACATGTGGTTTCCAGATGGTGGCAATTTGTAGTGTGAAGCAAAGACAGAAGTGACTTGAGAAACTAAGGTACCTTCAAGTATCCCAGCCCACCACATGCACCAGTGACCCCTTCTCGTTCCCGCCGCAATGGGTGTGGCCCGCGTGCCTGCCAGCTGCGGTGTTGTCGCCGCCTGCCTCCTACCTCTCTTTCGCTTTTGGGGAGGCACGAGGTACGTGACTACCTCGTTCCTCGCATTGTGAGCGTCGCCCTTTCCTGTCCCGAGTCTTTCGACCTCCCCCGTCCCCCATCGTCGCCCGTCCCGTCCGTCCATCCTCACCCTGGGTGCGCTCTGGTGCGGCATCATCCTCCCACCACCGCCACCACTACCACCACCACAACCACATCCACCTCTTCTCTCCCACCCCCCGTCAATCAAATCAAGTAATTCATCAATCCGTCAATCCATCAATCACCCGTCACCCAAATCGACAGAACACCACCACCCCCCGGCATACCTCCCTCCACCTTTCGGTATCTCTTGCCCTCGACATCTACTACGGTTCCTGGTCTCCCGCTTGCCGCACACACTCCCATTCAACTCTTACACCCACATACCTACACACGCATTTTCCAAACACACGCAATCCTTTCCCCTCGATCGAGGGAACATACTATTTACCGTATAGTAATAATAGAGGTGCCCTCCAACGGGTACACGCACACCAACCCTCCCCCCAGCGCTACGCTCCGCGCTACTTTACAAGATACACGGACCGGACTCATCCCACCACCACACGCTACGCCTACGATTACCACCACCATCCCTCCCTACCTCGCTTCTCCAGATCCGCCCTCCACTCGGTCGTCCCCCGAAACCACATCTCCTGCCGCCTCGCTCCCTTGTTCGTTCGTTGGCTTCGAAATCCGCTCCATCGTCCTGCCTGTTCTTCGCCACCTTTGGCCCAAACCGTACTACATGAACCTCTCTTGCGCCGCCCGAAGCCACTTTCACCCCTTCGTCTGCTCTCCCTCACGTTCGTTCTGACCCGCGCGTCTGCACACTGCTGCACCGAGGCAGACTACAACATTCCCTAACGTCGACTGGGAAATCTGCAAAAATTCAGAACCACAACGGCCTCGGGACA